GCCAAATGTTATGTAGCAGTACACGATTCCTGTGTGTGCATGCATGTTGATCTCTAAATCTGAATTATATTCATTTCATCATGGGTTTTGTTGACTCTGAAACAAATCACCTGTGTTCACAGAGCCTGCTTCCTCATGTGCAATAAGAGGATAAATTTGACCTACCTCCAAAAGATGTAGAATAATAGATTTTTTTTAAAAACCACTTTAGAAATCCAAGGGAGAAAATTTCTTAAGATATCGCTAACTAATATAGTTATGTACAACAGAAAGCTGAAACTAGGCGAAGGCTTTGGATAATGCCAATTCTGTTGCAGATTCAAGTATACACATCAGGATACCAAACACTGAAGACTAACCACAATATTCTACTCATTTTATGAATTTAGAGAGTAATTGCCAATATAAGTAATTATCAGAATTTAGTATTTTCATCTAACAAGTTAAAATCAGTCAAGAGGAAATTATCTATTATTGTAGTATGTGTGCGTGTGGTGTGTGACTTGGAAGTACTAAAGCACAAATTTTTTCCCTTTAAAATAAGCTTCAGGAAAAACAAGCATAAACTTTTCCACCGCAAGCAGGTGGGAACTGATGTTAGGGTTATGGTGGGTTAGCTTTGGGGCGCGTTGCTCAGCTTCTGGCAGGCGTCCGTGCAGACATCTTCCTCGTTGCTGCACATCACATTGACAGTTCTCTTAACTATGAAGCAAACCAGCATATCTTGCTGAAGTATTTCTCCAAGAATGGCCTTGGCACGATTTCTGTATTCACACACGTCTGAGGGTCTTTAGGCACATTGTGTTCTAGTCCCACTGAACTGCCCTGTTGCCTTTTCTAGGTTTCCTTATGTTGTTTTTCATTGAGAAGTACATCAAACATATGCTTTTATTTAGTATAACCAACTCATTGAATGGTTTTTATTTTTTTACTTATTTACATTTAGAAAAATGTGTAAAGTGAGAATAAAATTTGAAAAATCCATTTTCTTGTCAGTCTAATATACATTAAATACCTTTTGATCTATCTTCTAGGTCAATTTTATGGTTTTCTGATTAGTGACTGTTGTCACCGAGGAACACTGTGATGTAGGTAACTGCTTGTTAGCAGTCGATCTTTTAGGAGAAATTTCATCTAATAAAAGTGAAGGTGTACCATGACCTACATAAGACATCTGTTTGTATATTTTTACTATGAGCACTTCCTGGGTAGCTAAAAATGACTCCCACTTCTAACACTGACTTTCCAGAGTCAGTGCTAATTGCTAGGAAGTATGATTGTTCAGACTAATAGTAGAGGAAGGGATGGCATGCAGTTTCCAAACACAGTGTTGCTAAAGCACATTGAAAACCATCCCTGGCTTTTATGCATACCTTTCAACAACTATTTTCATTAAATAGGCAAGCTTTAAAACTTTTTTCCTATTTTAAAAGTATTCTTCAAAATTGATTTCTGTATCAAGTTAACCCTGAGAACACACATTTTTCAGTTGGGTGGTTTCTGACTTGTGCAAACTATCTTGTACCTGTGTATTTGAACAATTTTACTTATTTTATGTTTGGGAGTGTTTTGTCTGCATGACTGTAAATGCACCCACCTGTGTGTGCAGTGCCCATAGAGGCCAGAAGAGGACATTGGATCCTCTGGAACTGGAATTACAGATGGTTATTAGCCACCACATGGGTGCTGGGAACTGAACCCTAGTCCTCCCCAAGAGCAGCCAGTGCTCTTAACCGCTGAGCTATCTCTCTCCAGCCCTGCATTTTGCAGTACTTTTGAAGCTTTGTCTTAAATACACAAGTCGCAGAGCTTCTTCTTGCATACTTACTGCTAAGCATGATAGCAGGTGGGAACTTGAGTATGATAGAAGCTGGCTGAATTCAAATACACCAAACTGTTAACATCTTCTGAGATAAAAATATTTGAGAATAGCTGAAAAATTTATGTGTTGTAATTTTAGTCAAGTAAAATGTGGATGAAAGTTAATAAAGTAATATCAATGAAGAAGAAACTATGTACAGCTTTGTAATTTTTTTCTGTTTTATTAAAAAGATACAATTTATGCTCAGTAAAAACAAGTTCAAATAGAAATAGGTATACATAGAAAAGCCACGTGCCTATGCCCCAGTCCCACACCCACAAATTTTGAGTATCATTCTAGAAATATCTATATATAAATGTGTTTCTCATCATAAAAAAGCCACACATGGGATCATACTGCACATACTCCTTTACAATGTACTTTTAAAAACAACTATTCTGTGGGTATATTTCTCTATCAGTACAGTTAGGTTCACTTCAGTCCTTTTAAAAGAGTGGCTAATTGAGTTAACCAGCTGCCTGCTGATGGGACACTTTGCTCTCCAGTATTTTATACATAGCATCTTTATACATCAGCATGCTAACCGAGGTGAGTACTAAGAGACATGTCCCCTGAAAAGCTTGCATTTCTTTCTGATTGGAAGTGAAGAAAATAGATTCTGATGATTAAAACATTTAAAAGCAGTATGGTACGGTTGGCAGGTAGACTTGAGTACTCAGGAAATCACTGCATTGAAAGCACAAGGCTTTTTTTGTGGCAGCTCTAGAACATCCAACTTGATTCCTGCTAATGTTGTCTCAGATAACAACTGCAAGTCACTTCCAGGAGTTAGAAGGATCATACATAAAAAGGTCACTCATTTCATGTGAAGACATTGTTACATGTCTCAGTAAATACTGAGTTTTAGTATAATCTCATATTCGTCAGTAAAATGGTCCAAAATAAACCTGAGGAGCACAGCAAATGAGGCTGAGGTCTTGACTAAATATCTGGCAGCAGACGTGTTTTGGGTCCTGTGAGTTTTCCAAACTGAATATCTGCACTCTTTGGTGGTTGAGCACACCTAACCCCAAACCCCAAATATGAAATGTTTCAAAACCCCTAACTTTAATCATGTCGAATTATAGATGCTCATTCTGAGCTGCACTGAAGACAAAATGTGACTTTTACTGCACAAATTCAGCAGCTGAAACAATCCTTTTAAAGAAAGATAGAACATTTTAAGTTTCTGTGTGTTAACTTACAGACTGCATTACTCTTAGAAAAACAATATGAGCAACCAATTAGAATGCAGGCATTAATGTTAAAACCTTCTCCTTCACGTCCGCATCATGATGATAAGCTAAAGCTCTCATTTTTTGGGTACATTTTTCTCCATATAACAAGAAAAACAATGACCCTTTAGGAAAAGGAGGGTGATTAGTTATACAGCCTTGTAATTGGAGGCAGTTATTTATATTCTGAAATAGTGTAAGCACTCGAAGAAGAATCTCCTTTGCTATTTGCCCATCATAAAGGGAAATGAATGAAGAATCCACCTGAAAGAGGAAACAGTGAATGCATTTTCATATTTTAAAACTGCATTGAATACTCTGCATTTTAAAATCTGATCACATGGGGGAATGGCTCAATGGTTAAAAGCATTTACTGAGCTTGCAGAGAATTAGGTTCAGTTCTCAAAACCCAAATGGTGGTTCATAACTACCTGTAACTCCAGTTCCAGGAGATCTGATGCCCTCTTCTAGCCTTTCCAGGCTCCTGCTTGCATGTATAATGCACACCAACTCATGCAGGTATCCAGGATGCATGTGTAATGCACATAAACTCATGCAGGTATGTATATACAACACAGATCTTTAACAGATATTAAAAAAAAATGATCACAGATAATCCCAATTGCATAGCTAAAATGTATACATTTTTAAAAAACATTTTTATGTGTTTGAGTGTATTACCTGCATGTATGTAAGTGCACCAGTGTCATGCAATGCTGTGGAGGACAGAAGAGGGCATTGGATCCCCCTGGAACTGGATGGTTGTTAGCTGCCATGTGGGTACTGGGAATTAAACCTGGGTCCTCTGCAAGAGCAGCCAGTGCTCTTAACCAGTGAGCCATCTCTCCAACCCGAAATGTATAAATTTTTTAATCTTTCCTTCCCATGTTACAAATAGATACATAGTTTTGTGTCTCCATTAGCTAAAAATGTTTCTTTGCAATTTCAACGTGTAGCCATTTGGAAAGCCATTTGCTTCCTTTTTAAGATGCATCATTTAGATTTCTTAAGAACTTGTTAATAATGCCCATCCATTGTACAGGGAACAGGGCTGGGCATGGTTGTTTCTCTGCAGGAGGTGCACTCTTAACGGTTTTCAATGATCTTGTTTGTTTGTTACATGTTTTTGACTCCTTGTTTCCTTCCAGAAAAACAAGCACCATGTACTCATGGATGTTGGAGCACTCAGCCCAGCACTGAGCACATATGGGGTACTCAGCACTGCTGTTTCAGCAGATGCTAAGGTACATGTGCACAAAACAAGCCAAGAATAAAAAATATGACATAAGTGTACTCCAAATTAGGCAGAAATGGAAAGTTTGTTGTTGCTAGAGAATTTTTAAAAGGATTTTTAAAGGTAAAATATGCCTATTATAGGAAATTTAAGACACTCATATATGCAAAGAATAATAACACCTTAATAAGGGTCTTTAGAAATTTAGAGATAATCTCTGTGGACATTTTTAGATAGATCTTTCTAGAACTCTCTGTCCACATCTACATATTTGTGCATTTATAAAATGAATAGATAATTTGTTTACTTGGGCACTGAGTAGTCCTTCTGTCATGGCTGGATTTTCAGACAAATTCAAAAGCAGCTTCAAAACCTGAACCTGAAATAAGAATATTGGTTTAATTCAGATCAGCAAGCATGACTTTTCTCCCTAGCATGCCATCCTTGGTACCACTTCCCCCTTGTAAAGTCCTGCCTGAACTTCAAGGCCTAGCTCCAAGTCGCTCTATTCCATGAAGGTGTTCCCCCCCCCCCCCACCAACACCTCAAACACTCAGCACCACTTTCCAGAGCAGTTATCACACATCAGTGTCATTTAAATCTCACTTTTCAGATTCAACTGTTGGGAAGACAGGAAGAACACAGCAAATGCTTAAACAGTACCCATTTACAACATTGGAAACTTGACCAGTGTTAAATTTTTTTGCATACTTATGTGTGTGTGTGTGTATGGGCACACATGTGCACGCTCATGTAGAGGCCGGAGGTTGACATGAGGCATCTTTCCTGATCACTCTGGGCCTTACATACTGAGGTAAGGTCTCACTTGAACCTAAAGCTTCTCCACTCTAGCTGGCCAGCTTGCGTCAGGGATCCCATCCCATTTTCCCTGTGCTTGGATTACAAGAAGGCCACCATGCCCACCCAGCATTTATGTGGATGCTGGGGACTTGAACTCTGGTCTTTATGCTTACAAGTCATTTCCACAGCCCCCAAATCATCTTTTTATGATTACCAGTGAGGAAAAGATGATATTTGGAGCAAAACTTTTTCAAGCTTAGTTCTTTTCTCATGAAAGTATCAAAATTCTGAAATTGTTTGGTTTCCAAAACTAAATAATATGATCCTTTTACTATATTACTTTAAATCTTTGGGGTTATCTTTTTTAAAATGAAAAATCTTTTGTGATAATTCAAATAGGAAGTGACCTAAAAATTAGAAAACAAAATTATTTAATAGCTAGCTGGTTAAAATACCAGCATTATATCACTTATTTCTGAAAAATCAATAAGTATTAAAATGTCCTTTTTAAAGCCATAAAACCATACTTTCTACAAGACAGTTGAAATTAAGATCAGAAGGAAGAGGGCACTAAAGTTCAGAAAAAGTGACATCTGTTTTTCACTAGACTGAGGAAAGAACCTATAAAACTTTTTTATTATAAAGGCAAATAACTTTAGAATTTCTGGGGGAGGGGGCAAGGTACTGCAGCTCAAACCTAGTCTAGTGGGTTTGACAAGAACTCTACCAACTGAACCCTACCTCTAGGCCTAAGGCATTTTTAAATGCGGAAGAACACAGAAATTGGAGTTTTTATTTTTGGTCTTTATGTATATACCTATAATGTATGCTTAATTCATTAAGGAGACAGCTTTAAAACTTTGGCTATTCTCATTTTTATTAATTATTTTTTACTGAAAAATTAATACATGGCCTTGATAAAAATTTCAAACAATATAGAAGGGATCAAGCTAAAAACAACAGCTACTGTGCTAGAGGCCCATCCCACTACAGGGAACCACTGGTAACCTGTATATGCAGGGATCATGTTTCTAAGATAGACACCCAAGAAAATTATGGACTGTTAAGGTGAAAAAGCAAAAGTGTTATCTCACCTTTTACTGCATTCCTTAGGGGCTACTGTGAGATCTCATCTGGCCTGACACTGTCAGCAACACCAGTAACAAGTCTTAGGAAAAAAAGCACCTGGCCCCAACTCCAATGAAGAGCCATGAAATAGACGACCTGGAACCTATGAGATGATAAACCTGGCTGACATCTATGAGGGTCCACTACTAGTTGACAGAGGGAGTCTGTACACCCACGACATAAGAAGAGCAATAGCTATCCAGTATCCTGAACTAAAATGATGTTGCTGTCCTCTCTAGGTTAAGTAAACACACATCTCTACACACCAAGTCCCCCCTTTTCCCCCTTATCAAATGTGCCAGCTTGTGGTAATCCAGGACATTTATTTTAAGCTGCTGGTTCTCATTGTTCTCAATGTGGATGTAGCAAGCACTTTCTGCTATTTAATTTTTATTTTTTTAATTTTATGTGTATGCATATATTGCTTGCATGTATGTAAGTGCAACTGCATCATGCAATGTCCGCGGAGGACAGAAGAGGCTGCTGGATTCCCTGGAACTGGAGTTACGGATAGTTGTTAGCTGCTATGTGGGTGCTGGGATTCGAACCTGGGTCTTTTGCCAAGAACTGCTGAGCTGTCTCTCCAGCCCCACTTTCTGCTCTTTGTATCATGAATCAGTGAACTTGTGGATCACCATTGTGCAGTGAGATCACTGCCATTAGCAAAACAAGATCTTCAAGTCACTTCAATGGGTATTTATTGAGAAAATACCTACAACGGACACACACAAATGGATAACTATCCAAAAGTTTACTTGCAAGGTATAACTTTATACTCAGCTTTTATGGAGAAACAATGCTGTAACTGGTGGCCAGGTTCCCATACAAAAAAAAGTTAATTTTCTGTCCCAGAAAAATTCTAGACAATGGAAAAACACAACCAAATGAAATTAGAACATATTGTGGTATGAGTCATCTTTTAAAAAGTCATAAATTTTATTAAAAGACAAGACTATGTCTGAGACAGTTATATGCAGGTCCAAGATAGACTTGCTTGGCTGTGACCTCAGCCAAAGTTCTTCCTGGAGTTCTCAACAGAGCAGCTGCAAAGAGAGGCAGGGGAGAGAATTTTTCCTGCAGTAGTCACACTAGAGAGTGAAGGAGGGAGTTTCCATGGCCCCAAGGGGCTCAAACTCCTCTTGTTCCACTGAAGATAGACTATGGATGGGAGGGTACATGCTGGAAATAGCCTGGAGTTGGAGCACTGCTAGGAAAAGAGGACTAACTCTCATATTTAATTTTTGAATGACCTTTGGGTATATTTTGGGCCAGATCCAAATAAATTTGGCTATGGGAAATGTGGAAAACCCATATATAAATACCACAGAAACACAGGACTACAGTGAGGTATTCCTGTAATTACATCCTTCTAATCTCAGAAAACAATATCAGATATTTGGGCTTTATCTTCATGTCTGAACCTTCTAAAATACTAACGCTGCAAGCGTACTGGCACAGACCTATAAATCCCAGCCCTTGGGAGGCTGAGACAGGAGAGTTGAGAGTTTAAGAATCTGCCTCAAAAAATCCAATCAAAAGGCTGGCTAGACAGCTCAGTGGGTAAAGAGTCCTTGGTATACAAGCCAGACACACCCTGAGTTTAATTCCCAAAAGGAGGAAGAACTGATTGTAAAAAGTTTTCTCTGATCTCCACGTGTTCTTTGGCATGCCCCTCCATTTACATATAATAAAATTTAAGAAAAAAATAATATCCAATCCAATAAAACATTTATTTTTCTTTCAACTATTCCAGAGAACACATCAATATGGTAAAAACCTTGAAGAATAAACCTAACATTACAACTAATCAGTTGGTCTGCATTACTTTGTGCTTTTTTTAAAAAAAAAAAAATGGAAATAGCCGGGCGTGGCGGTGCACACCTTTAATCCCAGCATTTGGGAGGCAGAGACAGGTGGATCATTGTGAGTTCAAGGCCAGCTTGGTCTACATAGTGAGTTCAGGTCAGCTGGGACTACAGGGAGACCCTGTCTCAAAAAGACAAAAAACAAAACAAACAAAAAAAATGGAAATAAGAATGTACCTTAAATACAAGAGATTTACTCAAATTTTGAGAGGGTCTCTCTCACCTAAGCTCCTACTTAATTCATTCCATCTCTGTTGCCTCTTATAGTTGGTATAACTGGACAGAATGATTCCTTCATGTATCTAATTTCTTTCTCTTAAATCTGTAACTATGGTGTAAGAAAGATTTTCAACAAATGATGTCTGAATTTTTTTTAAGAAGGTAATAGAGGGATAGGGACACTGCTCAGTTGGTAGAGAGCATGCCTGGGTTCAATCTCTGGTACCACATACAACCAGGTGTGGGAGTACACACCTGTAACCCCAGCACAAGGAGGTGGAGGCAGGAGGATCAGAAATTCAAGGTCATCCTGCTACAAAGTGAGTTTTGAGGTCAACCTGGGACATACAAGACCCTATCTCAAAAATAAATAAATAAATACAGGCCAGTGAGATGGCTCTGTGAGTAAAGGTGCATACGGTGCAAGTCTGGGAACCTGAATTTGATCCTCAAAATCCATTTAAAGGTGAAAAGAGAGAACTGACTCCACAAGTTGTCCTTTGGCCTCCAGATGTGTGCTATGGCCTACCCCTCCCATCATACACAGTAACAGTACATTTAAAAAAAATTAAATAAAATAGAGCCAGCGAGATGGCTCAGTAAGTAAAGGTGCCTGCCACCAAAGCTGAAGACCTGAGTTCAATTCCTGGAACCCACAAGGTAGAAGAGAATAAACTCTCTCACAAGTTGTCTTCTGACCTCCACATGTGTACCACAGCATGTGAGCATCTCCCTCCCCATAAATAAAAAGAGGGTAATAGACTACATGTGACACAAAAGTGAAAAGCTGAACTGGGGGAGGGCAGGGTATGGGGGAGGGCAGTTGGAGAGGAAAAGAATAGATGAAAATGAAGTAAGACCCATTACTTTGTATGTTAATTTAAAAATGTTTGGTTAGCCCTGAGGTAAGCAAACAATTCAGCTACCACTATTGCTCAGGTTCCTTTTCATCACAAGGCTATTTCTGGTTGAAAGAGATTAGCTATTCACTTCAGTTAAAGGTAATTTCACTGATTCTTAGCACATGAAATGAGCATCCATCAAAGGGCAGTGACCCAGCAGATGGTCTTCACACATTGATCCTGCAATCCAATATCAGGAGATAAAAGTAATGTACTTTCTTGGGCCCACATGAATATTTCTAATAAACCTTTTGAGGGTCATCACAGTGCTGAAGTAGGTGACCTGGAAATTCAATCTTAATAAGCTTGATGTGGTAATGACTGGGGCACTTCGTACCTTGGTGCTTCCGTCTCCAGTCAGTAGCAGGTGGAAAAGGTCATTGATGTAGCTGCTCAGCATGTGCTGGTGGTCATTGGTAACAGTCATGTTTGTTAACAACCTCAGTCCAGCCAGCTGCACAGCAGAGTTCAGGGGATCAGAGAAGACATCTTCACAGACTTGATGGATGTATATCTGAAGGCAAGATGGAAAGAGTGAGCATCTTAGACTCTCCCAGAACCTTCTACTGAACAGCCACTTTTCTAATAAACTTTGGTGACTATTTTAAAAGCTGCCTTTGTTAATACTTGGCATTGTGATGAGAATTTTACAACTGTACCTTACTTAATCCTAAAGACAACTTGAGTGAAGTGGGTATTAGGATGGCTACCTTACAGCCAGTGACTCTAAAGTCCTCAAGGAGCTCTTGTCCCCCATATAATGTCAGCAAGCAGGTGGGGGAGCAATGCTCATGTCAGGAGACCAACCTCTTAATTCTCTCTTGTAGGAGGCCTCTCACCTCTGCACCTGCTTCTACTGGTTTGGGCCTATCAAAATCAGAGAGGAAGAAGTGTGGGGCCATTTTATCACAGTAGGTACCTTAGCAATACATTAGAGTGACATCATGCCAGAAGAACAGGGAGACAATAGGTCTATCCATTACCCGTCTGTCATGCGTCTGTCTGCCCATCCATCCATCCATCCATCCATCCATCCATCCATCCATCTATATCTACCTACCTACCTACCAACCAACAATCTGAATAATAACACCTCTGTATTATTGTTAACCTCCAGGGACAAAAAGCAGTACAATACTGGTATAACTGTTTCAAATATGAAAGAACAAAATCAGTAAATGAATTTCTGAAACCCTGTAATATCCAGTCATGATTTTTCCAGATTGGGAAAATTATGTTTCACAGATAATTGGCATTCACCCAACCAAATCTGAACTCCATGAAAATCTGTAATTTGTAAGAAAACATTACTAATTAGAAGTGTTAAGAGATGATCAACAGTCCAACACACCTTTATTAATGTTTTTTAAAAACTCCAAATGTATCCATGTCACCATAGACATGGTAATGTAACAGCAAGAAAGCAAAGGGAGATTAAATTTCTAATACGGTTTTAGTTCTAAGTTACATTTGTAAGTCAACTGTCTCTTTGGTCACAATTTCTTTATATATTCATTGTTTAAACAGCATTAACTTCCCTGGTTAATGGAGGGTGGACATCTGTTGACAGGTGTATTGGACATTTGGTTTTCACTCATGTCAACTACCTATTCTCATCTTTTGTTACCTTTCTGTGCCTGTGTCTTTTTGCCTCATTTATTTTAGAAGTGTGTGTTCTTCCTTGGCTTTCTTAGATCAATAGTATCTTGTTTATGTCTATATTCTGTACCAGAGTATTATTATATTACAGGAGTTTGAAAAATGCCACTTGGTGTGGTGGCATATAGTGAGCTCAGGTCAGCTGGGGTACAGCAAGGCCCTGTCTCAAACAAAACATGTTGAATTTCATTCACTGGCATCATCTGATTCTAGCTTTGTTCTTTTAGCACCCTGGATTAAGCTGAGACCCAACTACTAAAGTCTACTGCACTGCTTACTGGCTAGTTTAAGTCTCTTATTCCTCTGCCTTAGTCTCTACTTTAAAGGTAATTCTTGGCCATAAAGTTATAAAGTATAGTCTATTTATGATTTATATTGTATTACTTTCTTTTTCCTGTATAGAAAACTTTATGCATTTTTAATTTCAGACTTACCTTTATCTTGATTTGATTTTCAACATTCACACTCAGGTTATTTAGTGCATTTAAAGCTTTCTCTTTAATACTTTGGTTTAGATAGTTGATTTTGTTTCCAACAATTGGAATACCACCCAATTCACGAATAATGGCCTAAGGGGAAAAATGAACCATAATGTCAATATGTAGCCCCTTTACAGAATTCCATGCATGCAAATGCATTTAAAATTACTTTAAAGAAATAAATTTTCATAAACAAATCTTCCTGTTAGAACATTTTACTGTTATCTTAAACATTTTTGTGTTTATGTGAGTGTGCATGCGTGTGCATATGGAGTGAGGACAACCTCAGCTGCCATTCCTTAGAATGCTGTTCACCTGGGTTTTTGGTTTTTTTTTTGACACAGGCTCTTTCTTGGTTTGGGGATCTCCAAGTAGACAAGGCTGGCTGGCCAGTGGGCCTGAGGGATCATCTGCCTCTTTCTGCCTTGTCAGTGCTAGGATTATAGGTGTGTGCCCTCAAACCTGGCTTTTAGCTTTTTAAATGTGGTTTCTGGGGATTGAATGCAGGTCCTCACGCTTGTATGGCAGGTATTTACTGAGCTGTCTCCCCTGCCCTAATTTTAAATTTACTTAATTTTTTTTTTGGGGGGGCGGTCTGTATGTGGGTATGTGTACACGTGCAACCTTGAGCGTTGTTTTGAGACAGGAAGATCTCTTCATTGAGACCTGGGGCTCTCTCTGCTTCTCTAGCACTATGATTAAAATCGTGTGACACCTTGCCTGGTCTTTTATGTGGGTGGGTGTACTTTACCCACTGAAATCTCCCCAGTTCCCCTAAAACTTTGTTTTAACTGTTACACACACACAAATACACACACAAAATTAATGGAGTACTTTGATGTTTTGATACATTATTATCATCTATAATCCCATTAAATTTAAATGCATCTTTACAAGCATTTATTACTTTTTAATAGCAAAAACATTCAAAATTTTTTTCTAGCTTTTTGAGATACATATAGTATACAGCTATTTCTTTCAGTGACCCTACTGTTTTATGTGTTTGAGTATATTGCCTACATGTATGTAAGCGCACCCGTGTCATGCAATGCCATGGAGGTCAGAAGAGGGCTTCAGATTCCCCTGGAACTGGAGTTAAGGACGGTTCATAGCCGCCATGTGGGTGCTGGGGATCGAACCCAGGTCCTCTGCAAGAGCAGTTAGTGCTCTTAACCACTGAGCCATCTCTCCAGTCCCACAAAAATTAATTTTTTTATTTTATGTGTATGAGTGTATTGCCTGCATGTATGTGAGTGCACCCGTTTTGTGCAATGCCGCGGAGGTCAGAACAGGACTTCGGATTCCCCTGGAATTGGAGTTAAGTTTGTAGTCGCCATGTGGGTGCTGGGAATTGAACCTGGGTCCTCTGCAAGAGCAGTCAGTGCTCTTAACTGCTGAGCCATCTCTCCAGCCCCCTAAAATTAAAATTTTTTTTTTTCGGTCTTTTTGAGACAGGGTCTCCTGGTAGCCCCAGCTGTCCTGGAACTCACTATGTAGCCCAGGCCGGCCTTGAACTCACAGAGATCTGCCTGCCTCTGCCTCCCGAGTGCTGGGATTAAAGGCATGTGCCACCACACCTGGCCTAAAATAAATTAAAAAAAAAAATTTATTTAATATTTTTGTTTTATGTGTATGCATGTACTGCCTGCATGTAGGTAAGTGCACCCGTGTCATGCGATGCCTGCAGGGATCAGAAGAGGCTGTCAGATCCCCTGGGAATGGAGTTACCGACAGTTGTTAGCTGGCATGTGGGTGCTGGGATACAAAGCCGGGTCTTCTGCAAGAACAACCAGTGTTCTTAACTGCTGAGCCATCTCTCTAGCCCCCCCAAAAATAAATTTTTAAGAAATAAAGAGAGAAAAGGGATCCTCAGTTTATATACATTGGGGAAACTCTGTAATGAGAGTAGACGGCTCTTTACTGTGAAGCATCATGTTCATGCGCACAGGCTGTCCCCAAGAGGGGTGCTGACTACATTATTTCTGTCACCAGTGGCAGGAATGAAGAGAATACATTAACATTTTGCAGAACTGGAGTTCCACAGTTTTAAAAATGGTACCTAATTTTCCAAGGAGAAATAATCTGAGAATTCACAAATTAACTGAAGTATTAATATTACTAGGTATTTTTGGTTCCAATATTAAAAGCAGTAATTGCTTTAATCTTTTATTAAATTCAATTTAATTTTCTTTATTATTATTGTTTGCATGTGGAGGGCAGAGGACATTTTTTAGGAATCAGTTCTCTCTTCCCACTATGGGTTACACAGATTGAATTTAGGTCATCAAGTTTGCAAGGCAAGCGCTTTTACCCACTAAATCATCTCAACCAGCCCTTCATTGATTTTTGTTAAGAATATCACAAAAGGAGGAAAAGATTACCCTCATCTGCTTTTTACAAAAGTCCAACACTCTACTACTAATAATAGGCTTAGTGTTGGAGAAAAATTAATTTCCTTCCATAATTCGGGTTTTTAAGGCCTTACAGTTACCTTTTATTTATTTTACTATAGTTACATGTTGCTTAACAATAAAGGTATGTTCTGAGAAATGTTTCATCAGGCATCTCACTGTGTGTCAATTCTAGAGTGTATTTACACAAACTGATGCAGCTATGTCATTAAGCAATATAATCTGAAGAGCCCATCAGGGCACATGCAGTATGTGAGCAGAAGCAGTACGTAGCATGATGTAGGTCAAGGGACTGAACTTGATGCTGAATTCCCTGATCTCCATTACTCAACAAAGTACTTGTTTACCAGTGGCCACTGAATCCACTCTCTTGACTCTTCCTGAGAAATCCAAAACTATAGCATCACACATAATCCAATAAGGCCAGGCTAATAAGTTAGTCATCACCTTTCATTTTCAATGTCTACTGAACCTCTTTCCATTGGAGCAGGTCTGTTGCATATAGTCAGGGATCCTTGTTTTTATTTGTTTTATGTGTGTGCTGGACCAACCAAGTACCTAAACTTAAAAAGCACTGTATTGGGGGCTGGAGAGATGGCTCGGTGGTTAAGAGCACTGGCTGTTCTTGCAGAGGACCTTGGTCCAGTTCCCAGCGCCCACATGGTGGCTATCAACCAGTTCCAAAGTCCTCTTCTGACTTCTGTGGGCACTGCATGAGATGGGTGCCCTTATATACATGCAGGCAATACACTCATACACATACAATACAAATAAAGTGTTTTATTTATTTATTTTAATTTTATGTGTATGAGTGTTATACCTACAGATATTAAGTGTACCCGTGTGTGCAGTACCAGCAGAGGACAGAAGAGGGCATCAGATCCCCTGGAACTGGAGTTACAGATGGTTGTTGGCTGTCATCTGGGTGCTAGGATTTGAACCCAGGTCTACTGCAAGAACAACCCAAGTTCTTAACAGCTGAGCCATCTTTCTAGCCCCTAAATAAAGTTTTTTTTTTTTTTTTTTTTTTTTTAAATAGCTCTGTATTGCTGAACTAAATCTTCAGCACCCCATGTAGTCCTTCGTAGGACTGTGGACCAACTGTGTTCATCATTTCTGCTCTGTGGCTGTAGGACATGTGTGAGCACCAAGCCTCACTCGCTGTGGCACATGGTCTTAGAGATTGAGCCAAAGGGCTTAGTACTTGATCCTGGGTAGAACAACGCTAAAAGGATGCTATAAAGCATGAAAACTTGAGAGGCTAACAGTTTTCTTTCATCTCTTGAATCAAAGTTCTTTGTGGCCAAAGACCAGTATGTAAGAAGTAGGCACACACAAAGCCAAAAGTTGGAGGCAGCACTATGGTAACTTTCTACAACCTTGAACTGGGTTCAGTTATGCCTGAAAACAATGCTATACTTTGTCCAAGTTAGCTCATCTCGGTATTGTCCCTTTCTTGGTTTAAAATAGTTTAAGTTGGCCTAGTGTGGTGGCTCAAACTTGTAATCCCTGCACTTGAAAGGCTAAGGAAAGAAGATTGCTGCACGTTCAAGGCCAGCTTATCTCAAAAACACAAAACAAAAAACCCATTAAAATAACAAGTTGGATTCTGCAAAACCATGTATAAACATTTTATATCTCTCTCTGAAAATCTAAAACTTTATAGCAAACTTAACCATTCTAGAAAAAACTATACTGAAATAAAGTATGAGTTCAAAATAAATTTGCATTGATGAGAATATTAACAAGGAGCACTGTTGAAAAAAAATTACAAAAACATTTTTCTTCTTCTCTGTAGGGGAAAAGGGAAAGAAGTATTTAAGCTCTTTAGTCTTGGTGTTAAATTTCTACTTATAGAAGCCATTTACATTGATGTGGCAGTTACCACTGTGACCCAGGGACCACTTGCATGATGAACTATCTAATTTAAAGCATATACTTCTACATTAGAAGCTTGTATTATTTTCTTAAAGCACTGCTGCTCAACTTTAAATAAAAGACCATGTACTGCTTATTGAATAGCCATTCTTACGAATGTGAGGCCAGTAACCAGCTGTACAGAGGCCTAGGAACACATTAGTAACTGCATTACCATATGGCCTTGACTTTCTGAAGGAAAGAAGCACATTTGTTGTAGCTATAAGTAGGCATATGAAGATACTGGGGCTCTGAGAGGGTAAATAACTTACCCAGGGTCACAATTGTTGCTTCGGTTTAAGAACAGAAGGGTACTTACTTGGTTAGCTGAAAAGGCTGCATTGTTACCCACAGTGACCAAGGCTTTTTCAATAAGTATAGGATCCTCAGTTGACTCAAGCAGGTAAAGAAGTTTCTGAAGTTGCTCAGCATTTAAGACATCATCATATGAACCATTGGTTAGGTCCTCTGCATAAGAAGGAAATTTAGAGTTCATCTCAAATCAGTGTTTGGTTTTTTTTAACTTTAGAAAACTTCTAACGCATACTTTAATGTTAGGTGCAGTTTTTTTTTTTTTTCTTCTTCTTCCAAAAAAATCAATTGTATTTGAGAAGAGAGCTTTATTTCACCCACTCCCTATACCCCCAAAGCACACATAGAGCATCACCCAAACTCAAGAACCATAAGCTGTAGAAGCCTCAACACTAAGGTACCAATATACATGATGGGAAGAAAGAAAACACTCCTGAGGAATACACAGCTCATAAAAAGTCAGCACCTGACTGTTTCTGTGTATAAAAGTTCAATCTCTAAACCAAGTTTCAGGAGTAAAATGAATGTAAAACCCAGATAATTATTAAATATATAATAAAAACAAGTACAAATCATGCTTACTTTTGCTATACTTAAAACATGCCTGATACTTGAAAAGAAAACCCAACTGCTGGAACATATTATTAACTGAGGCAGAAATATGAAAAGATTCATTCTCCAACTGTTCTTCAGCAGATACATGAGTCAGAAGAACAGAGACAAATATAAATCTCTTCCTGCTTAGAAAGAATGAGGAAAACTTAAGAGGGAGGGATACACTAATTCAAACATCTTAAACTTTAAATTTCAAAATAAAATTTTCACTGATCATTGAAATGATTCAAATTATTTCAAATTGCCTTCAGTTCTCAACTGAAGGTAATTCATGTAACCAGAAAGGAGACTAATCTACTTTTAGTCAAGTTTCATTTGTAAAAGTTTACTCCAAAATTTTGTCTTTTTTTGTTTTTGCGAAATGAAATACTGGTATTTTCAAACTCAAAGTATGAACTGCATACACACCTGTTTAAGAACATTTCCTTTTATCCCTAATTTCTCAAGTTATCAGAAATACTATTTTAATGACTTTTGGAGGTCACTATATAGTTTTTGCTTTTAACTATATTAATGCAATAAATGAATGTATTCCTCATTATGAATTCTCCTTATATATCTGTCTGGCCTTAGCATATTATTCCCTCCATCCTGACAGATTTGATGACATTTTTACTTAAGATTTTGTTTACTCAATACTGTCAGATTTATAGCTTTTTGTGCTATCTCTGTCAGGTTTTGGTATCAAGTTGATAGACTTGATACTGTTTCCATCTTTTTCAATGCCCTCAAACAGTCTCTACAGGATTTTTTGTTTTAAACAGGGTCTCATTATGTAGCACAGACTGGTCTTAAACCCTTGATCCTCTTGCTTGAGCCTTCTGAGTGCTGGGATTCCAGCTGTGCAACACCCTCTGCAGCTGAACTTACTTCATAACAGGAATCACCTATTTCTTATAAGTTTAAGACAAAGAAAAGATCACTCTTCCAACTGGGATAGCAGAATGAGTATGTTTCAGATCCACACAGATTAAGGGTGGGATTTCAGAAAGGCTGTGGGAAACTCACTATTTAAAGTTGTCTGACCTAAGTTAATGATGATTGTGGGAACTGAGAGGTTTAAAGGTTAGACTGTCAAGCAGGTTTAGTGGTACATGCCTATAATTCTAGCACTCAGTAGACAGAGAGTGCATTCTGGCCAGCTTAGGCTATATTGGAAGACCCTGTCTCAAACAACAACAACAACAACAAACGAAACAAAAAAGGGAGTCTGAAGATGCAGTTCAGTTGGTAAAGTGCTTGCCTAAGCAGGTATGAAGCCCTTGGTTTGATTCCCAGGGGAATGTACCACATAAAAGTGTGGTGGTACATGCCTTGAAATCCCAGTATCAGGGAGGTAGAAGGAGGCTCAGAAGTTCAGGGTCACCCTCTGCTACACAGTGAATTCCAGGCCAGGGATACATCAGAGCCCCTATCTTATAATAAACAGGGGCTAGAGAGAAGCCTCAGGGGTTAGCACTGGCTGCTCTTGCAGAGGATCCAGGTTCTGTTCCCAGCACCACATGACAGCTAACAACCATTAGTAACTACAATTTCAGGGGACTCAATGCCCTTTTCTGGCCTCTGTGGGCATTGTATGCATGTGGTGTGTATGTGTGCAGGCAAAACACTTATACATCTAAAATAAAAATTAAAAAAAAGACATAGAAATATCTGGCAGAGAAAGACAACAAATTAAGCTTTATAAGTAAGGGCAAATATGCATCTTTAAAAACGTTCCTTTGTGACATAAGGGACTTGCAGCATTTCCTGCAGCAGGGCTGGAATTATAAATCCACGATCTGTCCCTTTGTAAGGGCAAATTTTAAAAACTAAAAGCCAGTCTTACAACCCAAAGATGTTTTCTTTCTTTTTTTCGTCTTTTTGAAACAGTTGCTCCCTGCAGCCCAGCTGGCCTGGAGCTCACTATGTAGACCAGGTTGGCCTTGAATTCAGAGATCTGTCTGCCTCTGCCTCCAGTGCTGGGACTACAGGCATGAGTCACCAGACTTAGCCCAAAGATGTTTTTCTTAAAGATACAGAGTATCTTTTTGAAGGATAAACATTTAGACCCAGTCTAGGTTCAGAGGGAGCTTAGCCTAGGCACCTGATTCCACTTTAACCTACCTGTCTCATAAAGATGCCTTATTTTCCCTCGATAAAGACAATTATTACCAATAACGGTCTCAACTATCAGTGAACGTGGGGTGAAAAATGTATAGAAAATTGTATTATAGAAAATGGTGCTGTCAAGTCCTCTTACTTTGAGGCCAGCTATCTTGTATCTACTCAGCTACACACAAAGAGGTGAGAATTCTATTTTTGGAATGCCATTAGCAGATTGCCTGTAATGTTGGAGGCAAAAATGGTTTAATGTTTATTCAATAATAAAGCTGTTTCCCTACCTAAGGAAGGCAGATTTTTTGTGGGTAGATTTTATTTTAAATTAATTTCGTGACAGTTTTCATGACCTGAAAATTCCTTCAAAATATTTACACTGTTAGAATTCCAAATGTGCCAATCAACATTTGGATAGAACTTACTAGACTTGTCAGGAGGGTGTGTCTCCTGCAGGCTGAGGTTTTAATTTCCAACACATGCCCAAGTTGCAAGATGCTAAGGAGGCTTCGAGGTACCTCCCCAGGACAGGTCTGGCCAAGTGCAGGCAGAACCGCGCCTCCGGCATTCATCCAGGGCTCCAGGCCCAGCAGCAGCCCTCCCACAATCACAGTTATCTCTTTAGTAACACAAAGGCCCAGAACAAGCTTTAGAGAGGCAATCATCCTGCCTTTGAGAAACCTCAGCCCTCCTCTGAAGCCCAAGGCTACAGCCAAGGTAACACAAAGTTTGGGCACCGTTTTCAGGCCGTATTTTAAACAAAGACGTGGCGGAAGGGAAGCGGCTGAGGACCCACCCTAGGCTGGGGGCCATTCGCCCTCGCAATCAGGGTTTCCGACCTCATCCAGTCTCGAGCCTCCCTCCCTCGGCTCGGCCGGGTGTTTTACTGTGAGGACAGGGAGCTGCGGGCTGCGTCTCCGGTCCCGCCCCGGCCCGTGATGACCCCGGTGCCCCGAAGCTGCCCACCTGCCCGGCAGCCCCCGCCTCACCTGCCGACCGCGAAGGGCGCAGCCGCTGCCTGCCTCGCCGCTGGCCCAGCGTGAGCCGGTAGATGCAGTAGCAGGCGCCGGCGCCGAGCACCAGGCCGGCAGCTACCCAGCCCACGTCCCGCGCGCCGCCCATGCCGCGGCCGAGCTGCGAGGACCCGGGCACGCGGCCTCCACTCGCGGGTGCAGCAGGGCCGCAACCAGCCCGCAACCTGCGGAGGATCGGAGAAAGGAAATGCTCTCCGAGCTCCGCCTTCCGGAAGCCGCCCTGCTAAATCCTAAGCCCTCCCACTCTGCAAGGCGCGTCCCTGCCGTTGCCACTGAGCAGGCGGGATGGGAGTGGGGGAGGTGCTGCGTGGACGGCGACGATTCCCGCACCCAGACCTCCTGGCGCCACGCCCTCCCATAGCCCCGCCCCTCTCCCCTTTCATTCCCTCGTCTCATCCAACTCCCCTCCCCTCATCTTTCTTCCCTCTCCGATCCCCCCTCATTCTCCCTACACAGCCCCTTTGTCCCTCATCCTTTCTGCCGCCCCGCCCCTCATCCTTTTCTCCTAATCCGTCTCCCTTCTATGCCCCGCCCCTCATCCTTCGCCCCGCCCTCTATTCCCCGCCCCCACCCCGCCCTCGTCCCGCCCCTCGTTCTTCTCTCCCTTAATCCCTCTCCTCCCCCCGTGCCCCGCCCCTCCCCTCATCCTTCTTTGTACTCTGCCGGGCCTCTCTCCCGCCTTCCCCTCATCCTCTCGCTCCGCCCCTCTCCTCGCCCGGATCCCTTTTCCTCTACTATAGAAGGGTGAAGGACTGAGGGCCTCTCTGAGCCCGGTCCTCTGGTTGCCAGGCAACGCCCCGACGCGGCCTACCCCCCTGGCCCGGTTCGTGGCTGTTGCGTAGACACCCTTAGCCAGTAGAACGCAGTTTCTCAGTCTTGCCTCTGACCAATGTCTTCGCTTCGCACTGCCAGCCCTACACTGAGGAACTACTTTAAGGAGAACTACATCCCTCAGGTCTGCGAGGTACTGAGCCACGCGGCAGACACTGGGAGAGCATGGGGAGGTGGAGGAGGAAGAGGCCGGAAAGATGCCCAGAGCTGGAGTAAAGAGCCGGGCACAGAAGGAGCAGAACGGGAGAGTCAAATTCCAATTCAAGTGTGGGTAGTGGAAAGGGGCAGACAAATAGAGAAGATGGCCAAAGCAGGGTCGGTGGTGAGAAGCGAGGGTTAAATCCAGCGGGAAAGAGCAGAGGGCCCGAGTCCGAAACCCCAGACCCCAACTCTGAAGGTTTTAGACAAGAGGAACCTAAGAACAGGAGAAGTGCCAGGCACTCTGGGGACACACTCTGGAGTGTCTGAGGAGGAAGTGGGCAGTGATACCTAAGGCAGGAGGTTTCTGTGGAGCACAGCTAGCACTGCCTCTGGGCAGGAGTGACTGCCCACCTTCCTGTTAGCAGGAGGGGAGTGTCACCTGGATAGCGACACAGCTGCACACCACACCACAGCTTCATGAGGAGTTCTTGTTAGAGGCCGCGTCGCAGGCAAAACCAGGGTCTTGGCTTTGAGTTGGATTAAAAGCAGAAAGAAAGGAGCTCCAATAGAGAGTGAAGTATTCCTGATAGGACAGTTGTGGGCTTCTGAAGGAGAGTCACCTTTAAGTGGCCTTACACAGTGGGGAGATTATATATATATATATATATATATATATATATATTTTTTTTTTTTTCCTTGTGGCTTCCAAAGTTAACTTCTCTAAATGTTACTAAGAAACCACTCCCTGTCTTTCTAACATTGCCCAAAGACTGTGTAGTTTGTAACAAGGTTAAATTAAAAGTGAAAGATTCTTTTTCTTAGTAACCAAAGTAGTAAGGTGGATTTATGAGGGGCATCATATAAGGTCTAGAAGAGGGGAATGCTGGGAGTTCAAGGCGATACATCATTTTGGTCCTAAGTAAACACAGCTGGTTTACTGACTTTGACATCCTTGATTGAGGTGTCTTTGGGAATACATCATCTAGCCCTAAGTGAGCACAATGTATTTATTGTCTTTAACACTAAGAATTTGTAAAACACATATCTCTGAGGGCCATTAGGTTGTTATTGGTGGAATCTGAAGTCCCCTGCGTTTCTTAGCAGTGAAATCAGTCAGATGGGGGGAGCAGAGTCCTTCTCCTCTGGCACACTTTTCTTACCAGGTCACCATAATTTCTATCTTTCTGTCTAGCCTCAGGAGGACAGTATGGGGCTGAATACTAGGTTTTGTAGGTTTGGGGGTAGAAAGCTGAAAAAGTTCTGGTGACTTCTATTTTGTAAATAGTTGATGTGGGTGATGCAGTAGAAGTTTTCAGCAGACACACCATGCCGGGATCCAGAAAGATCTAGGGAAGGAAGGGGAGAGAGGTTGGGGACACTGTGAGGGTAATTTACTACAGCTCTCCTCCTTTTGGGATGGTAATTTAGAACTGTTCATTAAAATGTTAAATATAGGTGTGCCCCATTACCTAAGTGATTTTACCCAGAGGAGTCCTTCACTTACCTCTGCTCAAACAAAACCACATGAGGAATCTTCTTGGGCCCTTAAACTCTTTACCCACTGCCCCTAAGTCACTAGTAAAGTCAAATCTATTCTACCTGGTGTCTCTATATACCTATATATCTGATACAATTTTTTTAGGCTTTTATTCTTCTAAAAGACATCTGCAAATGTGTGTGTGTGTGTGTGTGTGTGTGTGTGCATGTTGGTTAGTTTTTGTCAAATTGACACAAACCAAGACATATCTGGGATGAGGGAATCTCAGTTGAGGAATTTCCTTCATCAGATTGGCCTGTGGACATGTCTATGGGGCATCCTAGTCTGCTGTGGGTGGTGACATCCCTAAACAGGTGGGCCTGAGCTGTATAAAGGTAACTGAGCAAGCCAGGGGATGTACACTAGTGAGCAGTGTTCCTCCACTGGTTTCTGCTTCAAGCTCCTGCCTTGAATTCCTGCCTTAGTTTTCCATGGTGATGGACTGTAATATGTAAGCCAAATAAACCCTTTCTTTCCCCAAATTTGTTTTGGTCAGTGTTTTATTTATTATAGTAACAAAAGCAAACTAGGACAATATGTAACACATGCATAATCCTTTATCATGGATTTCCACATATATTTAACCTCTTCTTAACTTCACCTATGCACTGTCAGTAAAACCTAGTTGTTCACTTACAATATCATTTCTCTACAAATCTGTGTACATTCTGAGTTTTTAAAAAATCCTATCCTAGTCAGTGGTATATGACCTGTAGTTCTTGCTAGGAAGATGGAGGCTGGGAATTGCTCTGCCAGGAGTTAGAGGCTAGTCTGGTAAGCATCGTGAGACACACTTAAAACACAAACAAACAGCAACAACAAAACAGTCTTGCCTGGTACATCAAGCTTACTGAATATGTTGATTGATATTTATTTTTCATGAGTTTCAGAACTGGTCATTTAAAAATATTTCTTCCCAATTTTCTCCTTTTGTAGGAATCTAGTCATGAATATAATAACTTTGTACTCCTTTGTTCTGTTATAGTTTTTTTTTTTCTTCTGGGTTCAATTTCTGGGTTCTTTTTCATTGATTGACTTAAATGACTGTCAGGTTTGATAATTCTGTTTTATACTTTGTCCCATCTGTTGACTACATTAAATGAAATAGTAATTCCACACAGTATATTTTTCAGTCCTAGAATGACCATTGATTCCTTTTAATGTATTCTGTTTAAGAGTATATCTATTTTTATACATTTTGCTATCTTTTCCTGTTTTCTTTAACATGTTAATGATTGTTATTTTATAAAATCATTGTTTGTGGGGCTGGAGAGATGGCTCAGTGGTTAAGAGCACTGACGTCTCTTCCAGAGGACCCACTTTCGATGCCCAGCACCCACATGGTGCCTACGAACCATCCTTAACTCCAGTTCCAGGGGAATCCAAAGCCCTATTCTGACCTCCATGGCATTGCACGGGTGCACTCACATACATGCAGGCAATACACTCATACACATAAAATAAAAAATAATAGATAAAATATTTTTAAAAATCATTGTTTGGGAAGCTGAGTGTGATTGCACATTCCTGTAATGCCAGGACTCAGAAGGTTAAGATAGGAGGCCAGCCTGAGTTCAAGACAAGCCTAGGCAACTTAGCAAGAGAGCCTGTCTATATCTATTGTTTCTTTTCATTGTTGATTATCACATTTCCTGCCTCTATATGTATCGAGTGAGTGATTTTCAAAATTTATTGCATATTGAATAAAAGAGGACAGTGGATACCAATACTTTTTTTTTTTTAAACCAGAGATGGCTCTCCCTTTCCTTTCTACAACATAAAGAGCTAATGACCTCAATCCAGGCAGATCAAGCTGGGCTGATGCTAGACTGTAGGGTTCCTCCCTCTTCCCTGAGATTATGAAAGACTCATTGTGTATAAGGAGTATTGTGCTTGTTTGCAGTTTCCTCCATGAACTCTTCCAGAACTCAACAAATTTGTTATTGGAGAACATGGCCACATTTGGGTCCCTCTTGTTTCTAATCTGCCATGTCAGCCGCATGAAACCACCAATAGCTGACTGGTTTCTGTTTCTACTGACAGGGTTCATATGCCTAGGCCTAGCCCTGTCCTTATTCTTGACCCAGAAATGGGAAAGAAAGCTGAGCTTTGTCAGTTCACTCCTGAAGATTCTTCTTCTCCTGGAATTCCGTAACTCTCAGGTCTTGTGCGTGTGTGTGTGTGTGTGTGTGTGTGTGTGTGTGTGCGCACACCATATGGAGACCGAAGGTTAATGCTGTGTGTCTTCTTCAACTGCTCCCCTCCTTATTTTTGAGACAGTATCTCATTGAACCAGGAACTCACTGATTGTTTATGCTAGCTGTTCAGCAAGCACCAGGGAGCTTGCTCTGCCTTTCAACATTGGAATTACAGACAGAAGCCACCATACCTGGCCTTTCCAGCCTTCCAATGTCTTTTAAAAATGTGATTTTAGAAAGTGACATCTGTGCTTTTTCCCCCATTTTTCTTTTTTTTGGTTGTAGCAGGCTTGTTGAACCATAGTGATTGTCCATATCTTATTCAGAAGTAAAGATAGTCTCCTCAGCTTGCTTCAGATCCAGAGGTGGGGTAGATAATTCTCCTTGTTGCTCTAGTCTAACTTCCCAACTATGTATCATCTTCCCTTTTCTAAAACCTCAGCTTCTTAGAGTTATAAAATTAGGTTAAACTCTCACTGTGTATCATATACCAGCCTTCTGGTTAATGTGTTTCACTGATAACTTCAGTGCCTGGATTTCCACTTTCTTTTCTATCCCTACTCCTGTCATTCTTTGTGGTTTCAACCTCCACTGAGACGTTGTGTTTATACCCTGGACCTATCTTCCAGTTATCTTTGCTTTCACTGTTTCCTAGCCATGTGCTCCCATGGGCACACTCCTGCCCATTTTATCTGTTCTGTCCTTGACATCTCTATTTCTTTACCTTGTTCCATTTGTAACTTACAGTAGTGAATTCTGTTCTGTCACTTCCTCAATTTTATTGGCACTACCAGTTCATTCATCTAATTGTTTTCTGTTATCATACTCTCATATCTTTGTTTCTCTTTACTCCCCCTACATTCCTTGGTTCATCACATTGTAGTTATCTACTGAATAGTGAGTCTCCACAGAATTTAATGGATTAAAATATCACTGGTAATTTTGTTATTATTTCTCACAATTATGGAATTGACAGGGTCTCTCATGTACTTGAATGCTTTGAATGGAGTTAAAGTCATCTCAGAGCTTTCTTTTATCAGATGAATATACATACATTGGAAACTCAATCCCCAATGCAACTGTGTTGAGAGGCAAATCTTTAAGATGTGATCAGTGCTAGAGTGCATTAGTTATTGAAGGAATGGGTTCCTGATAAAAGGATAAGTCTCCCTACTTCTCTTTCTCTTGTATCTTCTCTCCCTATGTGATATTTTCTGCCATGTTATGATAAAAAAGAAGGCTCTTGACCTCCCAGAC